AATGAAGTTCCCCCTAACAATGTTATCTCAGGAGATTCATCGAAACCAAGTTTCTCTTCGTATCTACTTGCACATAGCCTTGCTTCCCAAAATGTATTCTCATCCTGGCAGAAGTGGACTGCAGTTTCGACCTCGCCTGAATTGGTTTAGTTACCATTCAGAGCAGGACTCGAACCCAGATTGTAGTTGTGTAGCGTGTAGTCTCTACACGTTATCCACATTGAATTGCAAGGGAAGCCATGCTTTTTCCTTTTGAGAATACCTTTTGGGAAGCATAACTTTGTGAAATATAATGGAAATATGAGACCTATCCATATAATTATGGGAAAATTCAACTAGCAGTCCTTTATCGCTTTAAACAAAATAGGTTAAACAAAGTTATTATTTAATAAACGACAATAATTAGGTATTATTTGATATATAATGGCTAATGAGGTAACCTAACGAGCAGGCATTTTTACTACTCTCATTTCTCGAATTGTTGATATCGAATCGACTTTAGTGATCGTTCATGATTTTATAAGTGGATTACTTGCAATTATCTCTGCGTATTTTACTAAATCCACTAAGAGCGCCTCATCTTATTTTAGTTCATGGTTATCAGTCTGTTTGGATAACTCTTCTACTTTAGTCAGCCTTGGGCGTTGTAAAGGTGATGTAAAGATTGACAACTACATTTTTAAAAAATAAAATTAATGGATCTCACGAAAAAATTAAATTGCACAAAATTCTTTCTCATTCTGACCAAACCTTTTTTTGACCTCGCCTCGGTCTCATCAGCACATAAACAGGATTTAAACCATTGTTTCTGGTGAATCACAGGACAGCTAGGACTTTAAAGGCAAGTCCTATTAGCACATTATTACAGTGGGATTGCGAATGGAGCAAATTTGTAATTACTATTACAATAGTCGAACTTTCTTTTATTCAATGTGAGTGGTTTTAGCGAATATAAGTAATTCCTGAATAATAACTTGAGCTAGCCTAGGCTGCTTAAGGCGATACAAGGAGTGAGAGTAGAAGTTTCTACGTTAAAAGTGTTCAAACATAATTTTTAATGCGATTCGCATCTATGAACTTGTGAAACTCAACAAATCGATGATGTTGATAGCATTGTCATTTCACTTGCATTCGAGTTTTCAGGATTACTAGTAAATCTTGATGAACATCTGTTTCCACCATATTAAGTTTAGGGCTATGAAGGCCTAGTAGTTGACTTTTGCCACAATCATATGCGTTGGTCTTACGTCTCCATTAAAGTTCGTTTGGCCTTGCTTCCAAAAAGGTATTCTTATCAAAGCTGAATTGCATTTTCGACATCTCATAGGTCTTATCGGTATATAAACTGCAGTATACCATGGATGATGCTACCTTTTGAGTAGCAAGGTTAAATGAAATTAAATCATAACATACGGAAAAATTCAACTTTCCGTAATTCAACACCTTAAACCAAGTTGCTTGAACACAGCTCTTTATCAAATTTAACTGGCAGCCTCGAAAGTCTACTTACAAACGAAAATGAAATGTTATCAAACTCATTGATTTGCTGAGGAATAAGAAATCATAAAAAGAAAGAGAATAGCGAAAGCGTTGAATGCAAGCAGGGAAGATATGAAATTGGAAATTTGATGGTTTGATAGAATGTAGGATTGATGTGAAGACTTTCAGGCTTACTGAAAGCACTACCAAGTTACAAGATCTGAATAGAACCAAGACCCGACTAAGACAAACCCTTTCTCAGCTTATAAATTAAATATAATTTCTTAAGTGACAACACATGACTGACGGTTTGGGTAAAGCAATCTATAAAATGACTAGAAGGGTTCATTATAATAAGCTAAAAAACTTAAGTATTAGGATCCGTTCAAGAGAGCCTGTATCTAAGACAAAGATTAATAAGGATAGCTCTAAGGAATTTTGTAAATATAAGATAATTAATTTACCTAGTACAGAGATGGAGGATGGTGTGAAACGTCTATTGGAAAAAGAATTAAATTTTGCACTACCAAATTAAGTGAACCACTCTCTGGAAATAGTGGTAGTGCTAATTAGCTCATCAGATAGATTACCTGAACAAGTTAAGAATAATATAGAGTTGGAAGTGATTTCTCACTTCGACCAGGCAGTTACGCCAAAACAATCAACTGTTCTGAGCAGGCTTTTTAGATACTTAGCTCGTACTAATTTAATTGTTATGAAAATCGACAGGAGTAGAACATTCAAGGTCAAGTTATCTGGGGGAAATGCTTGTGCATTTAAATGACATTGACACATATGGTTATCTGATGAAAGATCCCATATATAGGCTTTGAACTAGGCTAAGAGATCCTGTTAAGGTATGCGTAAGTAGTGGGGAAATGGGATGCTAGAGCACCCTCTGTCTATGGCTTTCCAAGAGTGCATAAAGAAGGGTTCACTTTAGCTTGATTGTTAGCAATATGCGTAGTGTTATGCATACAATCTCACGTTTTTATGAAGACAATTAAGAAAGGTGACAGCATTTTGTTTATTTTTTGTTAAAAAAACTTATGGGTTTGTTAAACTAAGGGACCAGCAAAATATCTCAGAAGAAGCTATACTAGTAAGTTTTGCTGCGGTATCAACGTACACAAAGATTCCATTTCAAGGAGCCATTGATGCTCTAATGCTCACCCACGCGGAACCTTAATAGATTAAGGAAGGAAATTAATTGAGCATAGCCTCCATTCTTAGGCAATTTAACCTATCCAAAAGTAGTACATATATGACACATGCACTTGCAAAGGCTTCTTGCTTAGTTCCAATTTTGTCGAATAAATATATGTCTAAGTTGGCGGAACGCTTAATTCTGACTGCTAAATTGTTTGTTAGATATAAGGATGATTGATTTTTGATCTGGTAGCATGGTAAAGATAACTTAGATAGCTTCCTATCTTCACTTAACCAACGAGAAACAAATAGTAAATTCACAATTGAATAAAAATAAAATAGGAAATTACCTTTTTTGGATAATATGATTATTACGGTAGAAGGTGAGCTAGGCAGGGATGTTTATAGGAAACCAGCATATGCTGGCTTTGCTCTTAATTTTCTTTCTAACCATAGTTACAAAATTAAGGTTGGCATTTTAAAATCTATGATTATTATGAGTATGAGGCTTGTAGATAAAAATCATCTGACCAATGAGTTAAAAATACTGAAAGTTTTATTCCGAAAGAATTATTATACTTTGAGCTTAATTGATAATAATGCTTGTTAAATAAGGAATAAATTTTCAAGAGGAGACTATTTGATCAGAGATAGGCAGACCGAGACCCTTTCTCATGTTTCAAACGTTGCCCTAATGTTTTCTTTCTAAGAAGCTAGGTGAACTGGTAAAGAAAGGGGGGATAAAGATAGTTTTCTAAGGAACTCTGATAATTTCTTCGGTGATACTTTCTTTTGTGAGGGAAATATGACCCGCTAGCAAGTTCCGGCTGTTATAAGATTATGTATTCCTGTGGTCGACCTTATGTTGGTGAGACCTGTGGACCGATTCGATAAAGATTAGCGGAGCACAACAATGTTTGTATAAGCATCTGGGTCGAAGGGTCAGAAGTGGTGGAATACATAACGGCGACTAGACGTGAGATAGAATCGTCTCGTACACAGAAGTTGTCTGATTATGGCAAGATAAGAGAGGCTATTAAAATTAATAGATTAGGGAATAGGTTGAATGTGGGGAATGGTGAGTTGAGTAAGAACCCAGACTAATGGATTCGGACCTGTGGTTTCGTAAGCTAAGTTAATGTAACCAGGGTTACTTACGCACTAGAGCAATCTCAATCATCCTTTTTTTATTAGGTCATTAAACCTTGATGATTTTTAGCTTTTTGCTAATTACTCCGAGTTATGACCGGTTTTAGGTACAGACGTTAGCACATATACACACAGATACATACTCGAATATGGTTAAATTAACCTATATCCATCTATATCTTACATTTTGCTCACGACGAGTATATATATATATATATATAC